TTTTTTGCTATTCAAAGGCACTCACTAGTCGATGCCTGCTTTTGACAATAATCACACCATTAGGATTCTCTCCCACCCCCTCGACACCTGTGACAAATCGTCCTCAGATTATCAGCCCTTTTCTCTTGTGCAGTATCTGTGTGTCTTCCCTCTGGTAACTTCTGAGTCTGTTTCTCTCTTGCTCTCTCCGAGGATAATTTTTTTTTTCACTTTGTATTGTGAATTAGGTGGAGATACACATTTTGTACAATCCATGTTGTGTCCAACAATATATCCAACCTTCCAATAGCTTGCTCTGCCCCTCCCTCTGTCTTTCTCTCTTCTCTTTCTCATAGAATATTCTCTTCCCCTGCCCCCCCCACATTAACATCTAGCTTCCCTCTAGCCCTAGAGTCATAAACTCACTTGGCCTGCTCCCCCCTTTTCAGAAGAAAAGTACTCAATCCCCCCACCCCCCGCCCACCCCTAGTAATGTAAAGCTTTCGGCCATAGCCCATAATGAGAAGATAGTGTCAGTATCTGCTTTTGTAGCGCCGCCATCTTGGGTTGTTCCAGTGGCTTCCGGGGGGGTGGGGGGGGGATGGCGGGGGAACGTGATATGACTCACTTTGGGAAAGACTGCTCTGACCTATTGCTTCCTATCCCCTCCCGCCCCAGGGGACCGTCAATCAAAGTCTTTCTTTTTACGTGAGCGGGCTTGATCTGGAGCCCCCCACCCTTTGTAAGAATGGTGTCATACAGCATTTGTCCTTTTGTGGTCAACTGACTTCACACTATGGTTCATTTTGATTGTTAAAACAAAAGCAGATACCGACACTATCTTCTCATTGTGTGCTATGTTCCGAAAGCTTTTCATTACTGGGGGTGGGGAGGGGCGGAGTTGAGTACTTTTCTTCTGAAAAGGGGGGAGCAGGCCAAGTGAGTTTATGACTCTAGGGCTAGAGGAAAGCTAGATGTTAATGTGGGGGGGGCAGGGGAAGAGAATATTCTACGAGAAAGAGAAGGGAGAAAGACGGAGGGGCAGGGCAAGCTATTGGAAGCTTTAGTTCATTTGGACACATAATCTCATCTGAATCAGAGAGAGGAAACTAGTTGGTTTTTATTGACAAGGAGAGCCAAGTGGGTGAGCAGGGTTTCTTTAGAACCCAGGATCGTGTCTCGACTCCCGTTGTGCACCTCCCATTTCCGTGGCTGTGTGGATTATGTGTGCGTTTGTTAAACTTCTGGCTGCACAGGCTTCCCGGGAACTTTTAATGTCAGGCAAGGAGAGGCCCCGCCCTCTATCTGTTGACATGCTTGCCATCTTTGGACCGTTAGCATTCCTCAGAATCTGTAAAATAATCGCCCCAGTTTCTTCTGAAACCTCACTGAAATTTGAATTGAACCAATACTAGATGGAGCTAGTGATTTCGGGAGAGGATAGTATGTACGCTGTGCCTTCTCATTTGCAATTCGGCTGACTTTCCCTTAATGCTCAAGGCTTGTCTTCACACTCTCTAACGGACTTTTGAATGCAACCACTCCCCCCTCCCAACTCCCCGCCCGCCCGCCATTTGCCCCTCTGGCCATCTGAAGACATTTGTTGGTCAGCATTTTCCCCTTTGGTTATACTCAAGGATTTGTGTTCGAGATCTAGCTCTCTGTAACCACGGGCCTGGGGTTTTGCACTGGCTGCCAGGTCAAGGATATTCTTGTCTGATTCTGGAACACATTCCGGACCCCACTGGCATCATGCTCTACATGTGAAGCCCTGTTGATTCTTTCAAAAGCATCAGGCACTAGTTAGGGGTCGTATCTGGAGGTGCTGAGCATGTAAGGCCTCGCACGGCACCTGGAGATCGCCCAGGGCTTGGCCTCCCTCAGAAGCATCCCAGTGGCCCTTGAGAACTGGGCTGTAGCTTGTTTGACAAACAGCCATGTGTTGTGCCCAGAGGACTCCTCCCCACGCACTGCGTCCCCTGGAGTAGACTCAGAAAGGTTGATGATTTGAGTAGAGATGAATCTCGGGTCTCACCAAGGCAATTGGTCTCAGCTCCCAGAGACTGGGCCTCTGCACCTGCAGTCACATGTCCTGCTGCGCAGGCCCCGTTGCCACTGGCCACATTCCTTTGTGTGAAGCCTGGGAGAGGAAAATGAGCCACCTTGTCCTCTGCACTTTATACCCGGAGCCTGCTTTCCTCTCTTGGTTTTCTTCCGTTGGCACCCACCCGTCCATCCCGTGGTAGGTATGAGTGGCAGGTGTAAGCCTCAGTCTGTGCTTTCGGAAAGGCATGGCATTTGCTGGTGGCATGTGTGCAGGCCCATAGTACGACAGTCCCATTTGCAGTATCTCTCCTTTTTGTCCCCTGCAGTGTGGACCTTTGCAAGGAAATGGTTGATGGATTACGGATAACTTTCGATTACACACTTCCACTGCTTTTGCTCTACCCTTATGAGCAAGCACAGTATAAGAGGGTGACTTCATCCAAATTTTTTCTGCCAATCAAGGAAAGTGCCACGAGTACCACCAGGTAAGTGAGCTCACCTGCAGGTGGCCCCGCAGACTTCAGCTATCAAGTAGGGCAGCCACACCGTGGAGGGGGGCTCTGTGATGCCTACTGGTTCAGAGCAGGGCAAAGGCCTCGCCCACTTCCTGGTGGCTTAGAGAGATGTCAGCGAGCATGCCCAGCTGAGGGAGAATACAGGAGGGCCGGAGTAGGACTGTGCCTTTAGGTTCTTAACTGGTGCTGGGACCAGGGGAAAGTTCCCTCTGCACGGGGTGGGCTCCTGCCTATGCACATGGACTGAGCATCTGCCTCGTGGGGCAGGTCTGAGGAAGCGAGACTTTTCCTAAGGGGCTGGCCACAGTTGACCGTGCGGAAGGTTCCTTTTCTTCCCCCTTTGCAGCGTCCCACTGCTTTCCCTCAGCCAACCAGCAAACGGAAATGTCTAGTCTTTGAAAAGAACAAAGGCCCCTAACTTAAGTCTTTATTCATCACCTTCAGAAACTATGCTCCCAGCTTCCTTTTTCCTGTCACTCAGAAAATTGGTTCTCGGTGTTTCCATTCTGCTATCTTCTTTCTCTTTGCCTTTAGCTTCTTTCTGCCCTGACCCCTGGACCAAACTCCTGTCTCCAAGGGTGCAGACACCGTTCTCCTGGTCATACACTGGTCAGCCCCTTCCCTGCCTTAGGCTCTGTCTCTGACTCCTCTCTGCCCGGCCTCCATCTCTTTTCTGCCTGCCTTGTTTGCTTTCTCTTGCCTCTTTCAATCTGCTGGTTCCACCCCAGTTCCAGGCCTGTCTTGGCGTCTGCATGCCCTGCTCCAGACCTTGAGAGTCGGGCTGCCTGGGGCAGGCTCTGTTTCCACAGCCCCCTTGACTTTTGACGACTTCTCTGGCTTTGCTTAGTCAGGACATTTTGATGAAGTAGGTGGTCTTTTCTCAGCCCTGCCCCCATTGACATTTGGGCTTTGTACTTTGTGGCTCAGCGTATCCCGCGCGTTGTGGGAGGTTGAGTAACACCCCTCTCTCTTAGTGGGGACAAGCAAAAAGACCCCTCTACTTTTCCAAATGTCCCTGACCCCCTGAGCACTGCTTTGAACAAATGCAGAGTGGGAATCCCCATCCTTCCTGCCAGCGTGCCTATTGGCGACAAGAAAAAAACGCCAGATGATTTCATGGATTTAGTTAACTCTTTATGAGAAACGATTAGTTTGGGCACATGCTTGAGATGAAGCTGGGTCACCTGCTTGCAGTTAGCAGCTGGTTGACTACTCTGTCCCGGAGAACGCTGCCCTTGTGGAAGGAGTCTCGGGGGAGTGGTCGGGTGTGAAAGCACTCCCTGTTCTTCCCAGGAATCAAGAGGAGCTGTCCCCGAGCCCGCCATTGTTGAATCCATCCACACCGCAGTCCTCCGAGAGCCAGCCCACCTCAGGGGAGGCTGCCACCCCGAAACGGCGCAAAGCTGACCCGGAAGCCTTGCAGTCTCTGAGGCGCTCCACACGCCACAGCTCCAACTGTGACAGGCTGTCTGAGAGTAGTGCCTCTCCTCAGCCGAAGCGTCGACCCCAGGACACGTCCGCCACCATGCCTAAGCTCTTCCTGCACCTGGAAAAGAGTACGTTTGCACCTGG